CCGAAGTCAGGGTGCCAAATTTTCGGGCCCCCTTCGAAAAAAATTTGAACGATTAAGGATTTTTCATTTGAATTTATAGGGGGTGGAATAAAAGAGTAGTGGGAATGAGAAATCCATTTTATTCATTTTTTAAACAAATAGGGGCATGACGGTAAAGAAGGGGGAGGGGGCATGGATGCGAGGGTGACATGGAAGTTTGGGTATCGGAGGAATCCGTCGGAAAAAAATGAAGGATTGAGAGTGGCATGAGTGTGGCAGGGTAAAATAGGGGTCAACCCCCTACTCACTCCATCATCAACCCCTTATTTGACCCTGCCAGACTCATCCCAGCTTCAACCCTTTATTTTGTTCCGTGCACTCACTCCACCATTAATCCCCTATTTTACCTTGCCACACTCATCCCAGCTTCAACCCTTCATTTTTTTTCTGCCACTTACTCCACCATCAACCCCCTACTTTACTCTGCCACACTCATCCCAGCTTCAACCCTTCATGTTTTTCCTGACACTCATTTGACCATCAACCCTCTATTTTATCCGGCCAGACTCATCCCAGCCTCAACCCTCCATTTTCCCACCTGCACTCACTCCACCATCACCCCCTATTTTACCCTGCCACACTCATCCCAGCCTCAACCCTTAATTTTTGCACATGCACTCACTGCACCATCAACCCCCTATTTTACCCTGCCACACTCATGCCACTCTCAATCTTTCATTTTTTTCCGACGGATTCATCCGATATCCAAACTCCCGTGTCACCCTCGCATCCATGCCCCCTCCCACCCTTTTTTCGAAGTGGGCCCAAAAATTTGGCACCCTCACTTCGGAGCCCCAGACGGCTCTGGAAAAGTGTGCCTTTTTGTCCCTTTTTCTCTTAGCGACCGTGTATTTTTTAGATGGAGCGTCAAAGTCTGCCGCAAACTGTGGGGGGGTAAAAGTCACCAAAATTTTCCCACGACGAGAAGGCCGGGCCTTAACTCCTAAATTATGAAACCTTAATTATAATGACCACCAAATTATTCTCTATCGATTCAAATTATTTTTGATTTTTTTAAGAATAACTTCTGCTCATTATTACTGACAAAAAAGAAAAATCGATTAAACGAAAACTAATTACTCCTAAATTCTGATAATGTTCTCCTAAATTCCGCCAAATTACCACCTACATATTTATGAAGAAAAAAGTTTGAAAAGTTAATAAAAAAAATAGATTTCTTCCAAATGCACAGTGCTCCGGGGCCCGCGATTAAACGGCTACGGTCAATTCGGTTATCGAGGTCGGTAATATAACCCTACCGCTATCTCTCGACATTTTCTGAACGCTGTTTTCATGCTCACTTCTGCCCATTATATATTTTTCATAATTTATCCCAAAATAATCAAGCAAACATCGCCAAATGCATCAAATAATCCACGTTATTCATCCCACATGATTCTTTGATCTGTTTTCATTGATTTCTACCTGTTTTTCATCCAAAAATTGCATCCACGCAACATCCACGCAACATACACACTACATCCACGCTATAGCGTGGATGATAGTTTGCTAGGGCGCGTCTAAGGTATTTCTAAAATCACACAGTCTTTTGTCCGATTCCACGTCACTTTGATGCATTGAAAAAAAACCATATTTTTAAAAAGATGAACGATGCAACATATTTAGTATTGAAAAACCTCGTTAAAGCACAGCTAAAAACTGTAACCCTATTCGATGGTGGACATTATTTTTACCATTTTTTGCACTAGTCGACTGTGCCCTTTGGGTGTACTGACGACTTAGCAAGTAGTTGCATATAATCACCGAAATGATGATGAAAAATTTCAATATTATACATGTTTTCACATATTTTTGTATCACATACTCGATGAGTTTGTGTATAAAAATGCAATGCACGAGTATTCGCAAGAATAACAAATGTTATTATGGATTTCATTTAAGCGGAAATACTGTTTTTCAAAATTGTTTTTAACCAGTAACGACCTTTAACATGATACCTAATAATCCCCATAAATAATATCGTACATTTCGAGAATTAACAATAAACGTGAATTTCGAAAGGTTCTATTACGATAATAAATTGAGAAATCTGGATAACTTTACTAAAACACAATTAAATCTGATACAAGTCATAGGAATTGAAAGACAGTTAAGTCTTCAATGTAGTAAATAAATACTTATTGCACTTGCCTCATTGTCATTAATTTGGGGTTAAATTGAAGACTTTCAATTGACCACAGAGGGTGGTTAATTTCTGAATTTACGCTCTAACTACTTTTTTGTGAGGAAAAAACGCGAACTGACTAAAAATAATTTGTAATGAAAAAAAAGAGATATTGGGGGAACACTATGAACACTAGGAACACTACCAAATATGTTGCTGCACTCGAACACTTATATATCCTATTATTGAGCATGAAAATTATTGAAAATTTGCAGGAAAATGCTCCCGGGAGAAATTATTTTCGGCTCACACACACAAAAAAAAGCTAAAAAAGTAAACTTTTGGAGCAAAACACCAAAAAACACAGAAGATTATTTGTCAGGTCTGGCTCAGCCGAGTATCTCGGGAAGAAGGACGTGACGTCAGCGCCATCATAGTGCGGTACTAATGCGCAGACCGCCGAAATTATTTTCAGCATAATTATTTTAATTTATTACATTTTCGGACATTAATAAGGAATTTAAATATAAAAAGCAACGTTTTTTTCAGTTGCGGAAATTTATCGCTCAGTCAAAATGGATAGGAATGAACACGAATGATAAATATCGCGTTATTATCATGAAAGTACGATAGCAGTACGCCGTACTAATGTCCTACGAGTACGGTACACTAGTATCATACCTATTCAAACAAATGTAGAGTGCGTATAATACTCGCACGATGGGTACGGTACAAGTTCGCCATACTTGTACTCATATAATACTAATGCGATGGGTATGATACCAGTACGCCGTACTAGTCTTATAGGGGTACGGTGTACTAGCATCATAATAATTGAAAATAGTAGTGTGGCATACTGATATAGTACTGATTCGATGGGTATGATACTAGTCCGTGGGACGCATGCATTAGTACCGAACCAGTACGGCGCGTACTGCTGTCATACCTATCTCATCAGTATTAATTGTGCTGGTAATCGTACGCCGTACATGTATTTTGAATTTATGGCCATTTATGGCGTATTCTTATAACACGGCCATACCTATCTCATCAATATTATACGAGTACGCTATACGTGCATTTCAAATGGGGTTGATCTTAGTACGATGTACTAACACTGTGCCCGCATTATAAAAGCCCGCCATACTTTTGTTGTGAATGGGTACGATACCAGCATGTCATAGTAGTATCGTACGGATTTTAAGTGCCATTTTTCATATTAGCTTGGAGCGGTACCGGCGTACTGATACTATACGGGTATTGTTATCATATAAGCGTGCGTCGCCATCTGATGGTAGTAAGGTGCAGGTACGATACCGGTACGTAGTACTCGCAGAAACAAAATAGTACGCTGTGCTACCTGGGTATTCTGGGGCTCTTGCAATTGAGGTATTGTATTCCGAACAATAGATCTAATAGAGTTTTATGGATCGGGTTCCCAAGGTTCCGACTTTGCTCATGTCTGTTCTACAGTCATACACATGGGACAATAAAACCCGATTATCTACAACTTTCATTGATAAATTCCTCTGATGTTGGTTTTACTACAGGATTTATTACATCAATTACACTTAATTTCGAAAGATATAATAGACTAGATATAATAGAATTTCCTATCATCGACATCAGTTTTTCCATTGAAATTCCAAATATAGATAATGCAATTCGCAATACTAACTAAATTGAACTCTATTTTTTTTTCAGTAACTTGTTGTGTAAATAAACTATGCTGGAATGTAACATCTCGGGGGTTGGCGTGTGTCGGCCAGGACGAAGTAATTCTACTAGTTGAGGCACTTCCTGATGAAACGCAATTCCCAAAAGATCTTCTGATTCACATAAACCAAATTTACATGGAGGCAGTGAAAGGAAATACGATGACTGAACTGGGAGTATCAATCCATCAGGAAGGAATTTTATTGGGTTCCAGGGAGCATGCAGGCTTCCTTTTTATCCGACAAACATTTCAATGTTTACAAAAAATAGTCTTACCTCCATCACCGTTTTTAGTCGGTCTTCTGGTACACCGTTGGGAGACACCATGGGCTAAAATATTTCCTCTCCGATTAGTCCTCCGCCTTGGTGCTGAGTATCGATACTATCCATGCCCACTTGTATCCGTTCGTTTTCGTAATGCCGTTTACTTTGAAATTGGACATACCATCATGAAAGTTTTGGCGGATTTTAGGAATTATGCATATACTTTACCGGGGGTCCGAGGGATGGTAATTCACATGCAGGATCGTACAACAGATGTTCTACTCCCTCGCAATCGTTACGATCAAGTAATCAAAGGACTCAACAATTCCAATGATCATGTTTTAGCATTTGCCGCAAATTTTTCCATCCATGTCGATTCACATCTAGTTTGTATACAAACGAACACAGGGGATGAGAGTATCTACCAAACACAAGCTATTAATATTCATAATAAGCCCCGCAAAGTCACCGGAGCCAGTTTTGTTGTGATAAATGGGGCGCTCAAATCATCAATGGGACTGTCAGCAAAATCGAGCATTGTTGAGGATGGTTTAATGGTTCAGATAATGCCTGAAAAAATGGAGGCGCTCAAAGCGGCTCTCAAAAATATGCAAGACTTTAAAATTGAATGCGGACACCAGGGAGTATCTGAGCCTGATGAGACCGTTAACATTAGGTGGGTTGACAACGACGTTCAATTCAATCAAGGATTGAAAAGTCCAATTGATAATCGCCCTATGGATGGTATACCGTCAATACGAGTTCATAATGGAAACGATTGGATGGGTACGAGTAGATTTATACGCTGGACAGAAGTATTTATTATTAAATCTGATGATCATCCCAATGGTGTCCACGATCCTGTCGATTTAAATAAATTATCGGAAAGCATAGCGCAGGCTACGTGCGCAGCATTGGTGAAGCTGCTTGATCTTCTGGCAGCGGCTGGTCTGACTAAATTGGCGGTTAGAGCTACCATTCACCCCGATAATGTATGTTGTCAAATTGATAATATGATAATCATCAATCTTTTATTATGTGTCTTTTTCTTAGAAAAAAAGCGTTGATTAATCCTGTATTTGTTTTTGTTAGTAACCGACCTGATTCTTGTATCAATCTATTCACAAAATTGCCAATCCGATAAAATATGAAAAGTATATTCAAGTGTGTTCATACTTTGATCAAGACGGGACGCTATTGGCTCGAGTCATTTGAGTCATACCCAAATTAGGGGGGAAAAAGTTAAATGACGGTCCAAGGCTTAAATACTTGATCGACGCTTTTTTCCGAAGTGTAGAGAAAAATTTGACAGTTGCTGAAAATTCGATTAGTTCTGAACAAACAGCGAGTAGCTATCAACTTACTTTAGGTAGTACTCCCGTATATCGGAGCAGTGATGAGATTTTTTTGAAAATTGCAATACAGATAGATTTTAATGCGAAAATGACTCCAGTGTGGATGGGCCCGAACAATAGCTATTAATTTTCTTATTTTTCGATCATCATCATTGAGTCTTTAGGCGAATATTAGGCGCGCTGAAAAATTTTAATTCATGGGCTCTAAATGTTGAAATTAATTAATTAAGTGTGAAATTAATCGATGTGGGAACAAGGCTACTCAGGTTAAGTGAGATCTCATTACAGAAACACAACACACACATGGAAACGGATCACACAGGTGTGCAAGCCGTTGTGCAATATTGTCGAGCCAGACTACCGCGCTAATCAAAGTCATCAGTTCTCTAACTTGACGCATGATGCATCGGGAGTACTATCTTTACAGTCAGTTTTCTTATACTGTCTTGCTATGTTCTATTTGCATGAAATTCTTCTTTTTGCCTCGTTAATTTTTGTGGAAATTCCAAGAAAGTTATCCCGACCGATTCTTCGGATAGCAATTATCACAGATTGACCTATATTCAACAATCAGTATGGTCAGTATATTCTTCTATGAGAGAACTGTTAAAGGTCAGACGATAAAATTTCATAGTTTTCCAGCGGACTGAAGAAAAAATAAATCGAATTTTCTATGTAATATCAAGAATTTCCAATAATTTTACACAAATGTTGACATCCTCAGATGTTTTGTTCCGATAGTGATTCATTGAAAAACCGTATACAGTGCATGAGAAAGAATTCGTATTCGCCGCACGTAAAAATATTAAAAAATTGTCATTTTAGAATTACAAAATCAATCACAATGATCCTTGAGGTCGTGCAATATATGCGTCATTACGTATCTGTAGCCTTTTTTTTAATTCTCATTTGATGTTTTTTTTTCGATGTTAAACAGGTTGGCTATGAGGCAGGAAGCGAAGGTAGTCGTTTACCACCTATTTACATGAACAGTTTGGATAATGAGCTCATTCAAATTCTTCATAAATCAGCACAAAGCAGCCAGGACACTAATACAGTGCTCGAACTAATATTCCATGTGCTGGATGATTAAGAATATTTTCCTCGATCTTTTATTGTACTAAATCCAATTTAGTCTAATTTAACGGAAATTACAGTATGAGCCATTTGAATGGCTTACTGCAACCAAAATATCAGCTATGAGGAACGATAATGGATTACAAAAATTATTATACAAAGATATTATTAGCAATCTTAAGTAGTGGATATGACCATCTATGAAGTAAAAATGGCAAACTTTCTAGAATTCATTTTAGAGATGTTTTAATATGAAATTTCATTCTTTGAAGATGTGTAATTTAGTAATTGTTATATTTTAAAGCTCAAAAATGAGCATTCATATTAAATGAAAATACATCGTGAAGTATAGGTTTGTTTTATTTACATCTCAATCGAAATGATACGTTATCGTACATGAAGCTTTATAATGAAAATTGTAAGTTTTGTATGTACATAAAAGTTTTTGTTTCTTTCAATCCAAGAGTTATATAGGAGAATTTAGAAAACTACTGAAAATATTAATGTTGAGGTGTACAGAGGAAATATCAAGATATACACGTAATGTTATAACAGATATATAGCAATGTTTTTATAAATCTAAAAAGATGGAACGGAGTTCTAATTTTGTGTAGTTTATTGTTTGTACGAGATAAAGGAAATAATTAAAACCATCATCCGGGAGTTGTCATTAGCGGGAATGGACTGATACTGTGGTTGAGTTTTTCAGAAATGAAAATATAGGGAGTGCTCTACTATTTGTATGTTTCGCCTGAATCATTGAGAGGGTTAGAAATAACCGATTCAGTTTTCTTTATACGTCTATGAATGGCATGGGAAGTTTTTTTTTCATCGAGGGCTTAATCACTTCAACTCCACCATATTTTTCCTCTCCGAATGGTCATTACTTATTATTTCTTTTAAGAATCTGAATCAATTTTTATTAACTTCAATAACAGTCCTAGTAATATGAATTATAAGCATAAATCATAGTTAATACCCACATATAATGTATATACATTTAATGAATAAATTGTAAATATACCATTACAAGTAGCTAGAAGTCTTTATTCTTATGTCTATCAATTCTTCAGTCACATGCATTATTATAGTGGGAGATGTGACGTTGTTGTCTCACTGTAAACTGCCCATTATCCCCCCCACCCCCCACCTTAAGGAGAGACTCGAAATAAAATCCGTTGGCATAATTATTATTACCGTGCTTTGGCCATCCATTCCATTGGGATTGGACAAATTTTCCAAATTTTGGGTCCCATCCTAAACGGGGACCGAGATATCGGCTTTGTCAGAAACAGGATTTTTTTCTTCCTCGTGAGGACAGATTTCTCGCTTAACATTGAACATTCGCGGGGTTTTTCCAGCGACTTTAACCTGGGAATTAGATCATTCGAGAATCGAAAAGGGCTCTCCATTAGCCGGTGTTGCTGCGAGAAATAGGGTGTAACGAGCATCGGGGATGCCCGTTAGGATCCCCAATAAAAATCCAAAAATGGAGAGAGAGAGAGGCAGTAGGGACGTAGGCTAGGTTTAGGGAAAACTAGGATTTCCCCCCTCTCGGGGTGGTTTAGAATAGGTTAGGGGGTAGAGGAAGTTTTAGAGAATAAAGTAAGCCCTCCGGGTCGGGTAGGTCCGGCTAAAAAGCCGGCGCTCTATGGAAAAGGGTTCTAGGGATTAATTGGTACGGGTGGAAGGCCGTACGGGGTGAAAATATTGACAACCCCGTCGGATTGCCAAAGACTGACTACGGGTGGAAGGTCGTACGGGGTAGATTCAGTCACTACCCCTACGAATTGCCAAGACTGGATACGGGTGGAAGACCGCTCGGGATAAATCAGTCGTTATCCCGGCGGATTGCCAATTTTATTAAGTGTTAGGAAAATAAAATTAGGTTTAGCAATTAAGGGTAAGGGTCTTTTAGTCACGAGAACCCCGGAGAACCGATCCGGAAAGAGAAACAAGGGCGATAGGGAAATTTTAGGGTTGGAGAATTAATTCAAATTTGAATTAATTCCCCCGCGAAGGGCTTGACCTAGAATAAGGTAGAGGGATCCACCAATCGACTCCCGATCGATTGGTAGGCGTGATTAGGGGGGTCAGCGCAACGCGACACTGACCTCCGAAAATCAGTTGCGCATTAGCTGCGAGAGAAAACGCACGTGAGTGAGTAGTGAGACGTGATAGTGCACCATCCCGAGGACACCAGGACAATTAGCTGCCACCAGGATGGTCCAAAAACGAAAGAGAAGGGCAGCGAGAAAATCCATCGTGAGTTCTCAGAATTATAGTTAAATATTTTCCCCTTTTTGGCGGCTCCCCAATGAGTTATTGGGGGTCAGGGATTTTTCCGAGCCATGGAAATGGCGTCGGTTGTGTCCCCCAACTTTTGGGTGGTTTTGGAGAGGATTTTCCGAATAATTTCGGCGTACATTATCCCCCAGTGCGGTTGGGAGGTCATTGGCGTGAATTGTGGGGCTTTGAGGGTAGTTTTATGGGAGTTATGAGGGAAATTGTCCACGGCCAACGAACCAGGCCAGTGGTTCTCCCTCGTGGTGCCATCGAGGCAGCCCACGAGCGGTTATGCGCAACAGGTGGGGAATCACATGTTAAATTTCCTCGTGATTATTAATTGTTTTAAGGGGACTAATTATGCGTCCTTACGCCTAAAATTTTGTGGGGTTGTGGGGGAGAATGTCCCGAGCCAGATGGTTCAGGGTTTTCCGGAATCTGCCGAGCGGATTCCGAGTTATGGAATTTTAAGGGAAGTTAGATTTATGTTGGGGAACTTCTCCTCGCTGCTAACCGGGCAGCGAGGCATCGTGCGTCTCTCTCGCTCTCTTTCTCTCGCTCGCACTCCCGCGTCAAGGGCCCGATTCCGGGAAATTATCGATTTCCCGGGCGAAAATAATATTTCGGTTATTCCTCGGATTATCGCCGATCGATAATCCTTGAGGCCGCATTCCGATGCGA